TTTTTTTTTTACCACTTTATTGAATTTGGAACGTCAGATGACAAAATATTGGGATTTTTATCATTTCACCTTAATATTCAGTAGAAAAGTAAAGGCAAAATTGTAGAACAAGCTTTAGGGCTGATCACAATCGTTGCAAAGAAGAAATCTTCAGAATGATGGCGAATCTAATCAAGAAAAGAAATTTTTAATATTTTCATTACACGTTTGAATTTTCACAACTGATGATAATTTCTATCAAAATGGAAACTTCGCTCTTTAAAATGGGACCAAGTGAATTACTGCGTACATGATCTTTTTTTTTTTTTTTTAAAGTTATATCAGTTTAATATATTTATATAAATAAATAATAAATCGTGATTCGATGTTGTCTCATTATTTCACAGAAAGATTAATTTATAATGACACAACACCTGAGATGTGTGAAGCTTGAAGTTTGAAGAAACAAAATTTGAAGCGGGCACGTTACACCGTGCAATTGCAGGAGAGAAGATGAGATACGATTGATTATTTAAAGAACACTGTGTGTTAGTAGGTGGCACACGAAGCGTGTCTAAGCGCATAAATATAAATATCTTATCGAGCCGGAGGGGGGATGCGAGGGTAGCTTCGTAGCCGATGAGCCGTGAAATTGAGGGTCCACCCTTCGTTGGCCCCACAGAAGGTTACCATCGGTGTCAGATGCAAAAGGGTATCGCGAATCTTTCTACACTCTCGTCGCGAACGCACCAACGCAGAATAGCTCGCATACTTTTAGAAAATTCTCAATGAGATCTAAATCAAGCGATCGATTCAATTTCAATGATAAAAAAGAAAATCTGCTTCCCTCCTTCAGAATCGTAATGGCAAAATTTGCGGCGAATGGAATAGTGCGGAGGGAACACCGCGTGGATGATTTTGAAAAATATGGTCCGTCAATTAGAAGCGAAACCTCGCTAATTATTTGAGAAACAAGTACCGGTCATAAAAAAAGAAGAAGAAGAAAAAAAAATACGCATAATATGTCTTTGAGCTACGTGCAATTCCACGACTTTCACGCAGAAACGATTCGCGTGGTTGGCCGATTTATCCGGGGATCGCTAGCTTCCGGAAGAATAAATTAAGAGAATGATATCGTTTACTTTTATTTTATTCCACGACACGCGAGATACACGCGTTTACGCGTTAAAGGAGAGAAAAGGAACAATCACCCTTCTCTCCCTTATCTGGCGATAACATTAAAAAAAAATAGAAAAAGAAAGGAAAAAAGAACGTTTTCCCGCGAAATCGATTTCCTGCCGACTGACGAATTGCCCTCCAGCATGAAACGTTTCGCTGTGCACGCGTCATCCATCCATCGTTCTGAATGAAATTCTGAATCTTGGAGATCTACGATTTGTTGCAACCCTCTCTTTCTGTT